TTGGCTCGCTACAGTTTATGTAGTTTAAGCAATGACAACCACCCAGACAAAGGTATTTCCAGCTTTTTCGGCTCGAGATCGTGATATATATATATATATATATATATATATATATATATATATATATATATACCACCTCTGTTATGTAAATGCAGTGTCATGCAAGACGAGCGAGCCCCACGGTGTTTGCAACAGTGGCTTTTTTAGATGCGTGCTTTAGCTTTGGGAATGGGAGTATCACACGATCCATGTCACGCGCTGGTTCAGACTTCAACCACTGCGCTTCTCGGTATCAGGTCCTTGCCCGCTGGGCCAATCACAAATGTTCTTTCGTTCGCACCAGCAGATGTGCGCACCATTGTTGTCATGACGGCGTTGGTCGCGACTGCAGAGAAAAAAAACGCAGTGCTGTTACAAAGCGGTGACGGCATAATTTAGAATCGAAAATAATTGTTAAAAGTGTATATCCTTATGATGCCTCGACGGTGCCGCAGTGGCGCCGTCCAGTGCTGTTTATAGGCGAGACTGATCCTGAGGTTTCACCAGGGTATGTTTTTGACGTACGCTCTAAGGTTGGGACACACCCTTTAACACGCAAGTGTGGTTGGACAAAAGGGAGAAGGGAGGTTCCCTTCAAAACCGGCGACAAAAGGTCGGATCTTTATTTGACGATAGGCCTGCTGGGATATCAAGAGTGGCAAAGGACACTGTGCAACAGCCTTGCGTTTGCTATCGCGTTGGCAGATAAGGTTGTTTACCGCTGCTGTGTGAACACGCCTGAGACAGGTAGATAGCTTTTCTAGCGATAGTCACCAGTCTGGTCCATGGGCATGTGCATGCTCTCGGGAAGGTGCATAGTACACATAACTCTGACCCGATAGCGTCGCCGACTTGTCATTGCAGGTTGAAGCAAGAGATTGGGTGACATATCTTGCAATGCCAGAAATATCATTACGGGGTCCCTACTGTTTGTTTTTGTTGTTGACAGTAATGACTGCAGCTCACACTCAAGATTTTACGCACCTCAATAAGACTTACTCCCAGAATAGAAGTGTTGTCACCCGCACACCTGCACACCTGTAAACACCTTACATTTTTCCATAATCGTCTAAGCTTTTGGAATGCAACTAGTTCCTTTATGCCATGGAGATGAGCTGCTTGAAATCCTATCCACAATTACCATAGGTAGGGAAGATGCCTATGTTGAGTCACCTGAAATATGTATTTAGTTGTTGTGAAGCCCCGGTGAATGCCGAATCAAGTGAATAAATGTTCTAGTGTCCCCTTGACTATTTCCACACATCATTTCAGCATAATTTCAGGCATCTGCTCCATAAACGTTACGCAAATCCTGACTCGGCAAAGTGGTACTATAGGCGCAATCAGGGCACCCTTACGCCTTTTTGCGAATGAGGCATCAAATACTGAATGACGCAGTGATGTACCCACGCATCTTTTGGCGCTTCTGAGCACTGGGCACTGTGAGCTAACCTTTGCGTTTCATCCTTATTGTACCAAGAGAGTTGGATGAGCGTCCTTGCGATGGCAGTGGACTTCTGGCAGCTTCGGAAAGTAAGGCTGGTGGAAGTTAACCATGCCAATATTCGCTCCAATTTTCACTTGGGTTACATGAGGTCGTCCGCAGACATTCCATGACCTATTGTGACCCGAACATGGGTAGCATTATTGAAGATTATATTCATAGATAAGAGATAGGTGTGTGCTGCTTTACAAACATTTCGACTTCTCAACTCCAGCAAGACGTCGTTTGCGGTGCGAGATGAGTGAGGTGATGAGTGACGTGCTTGTTATCACTACACAGATCAGACCAAAACACAGGCGAGTGGAGCACGTCGCCTTCGGGAGCCCATAGCGACAGGACCTGCCAGCGCTATGAAACATCCCCTTCCACGAACGTACCAGGCGGAGGTGCACTTGTGACATCGCTAGGATGTTGGCTGGCTTTGGCCTGCCAAGCCTTGACGTTTACATTCGAGGAGGGGGAGTAGTTTGGAATAGCTGCGCCGTTAGCAATTACGCTCAAAGTGTTAGCGACCGGTGCGAATATGCCACATAAATAAAGGTACCGAAAAACTGGGCTATGCGCCTGCCTAGCTTACATGACCTGATCTCGCTGGGTTTATGACACAGCATGTAGTATATGAGACCTGTTCACGGAAAGGTGGCGCTTGCTGCTTCTTGCCATTTCTGGCTCACGTACATGGGTCGGGTGACGCTGCAATTCAACCGTGACCCATAGACGGCATTCTCGTCTGCATCGCGTAGCTGCTATTACGTCGCTGCCTGTTTCGCTAGGCGGGATCTAACATCAGTCATTTGAAAAGCAAAAAAAAAAACGAATTATCTATGGATTGCGAGCAATTGCGCGTGATACCAACCGCAACCAGTGTTGTCCAACCAATTGCGCAACCAGCGTTGTCAGGGCGACTGCCTGTTTTCCCAATATAAGCAAACAACACCTGAAAGGGGGCGTGCGACC